CAGACTGCAGCACACCAGGCTTCCACGTCCAACACCAACTCCCAGAGTTCACTCAAACTCATGTCCATTGAGTCGGTGATGCCATCCAACCATCTCATCCTCTGTTGTCCCCTTCTCCTTCCACCTTCAATCTTTCCCAGCATCAGGGTCTTTTCCAATGAATATTCAGGACTGATCTCCTTTAGGATGGACTGGTTGGATCTCCTTGCAGTCCAAGGGACTCTCAAGATTCCTCTCCAACACCACAGTTCAAAAGCATCAATTCTTCAGAGCTCAGCTTTCTTTATAGTCCAACTCTCATATCCATACATGACTACTGGAAAAACCATAGCTTTGACTAAATGGACCTTTGTTGGCAAAGTAATATCTCTGCTTTTTAATATGCTATCTAGGCTGGTCATAACTTTCCTTCCAAGGAGCAAGTGTCTTTTAATTTTATGGCTGCAGTCACCATCTGCAGTGATTTTGGAGCCCCCAAAAATAAAGTTGGTCACTGTTTCCCCATCAATTTGCCATGAAGTGATCGGACCGGATGCCATGATCTTCATTTTCTGAATACTGAGTTTTAAGCCAACTTTTTCACTCTCCTTTTTCACTTTCATCAAGAGGCTCTTTAGTTTTTTGCTTTCTGCCATAAGGGTGGTGTCATCTGCATATCTGAGGTTACTGATATTTCTCCCAGCAATCTTCACTCCAACTGTGCTTCATCCAGTCCAGCATTTCTCATGATGCACTCTGAGAAACCCTAACCCCTAGGGCTAGGGTTAAATAAGCAGGGTGACAATATACAGCCTTGACGTACTCGTTCCCGATTTGGAACCAGTCTGTTGTTCCATATCCAGTTCTAACTGTTGCTTCTTGATCTGCATACAGATTTCTTAGGAGGCAGGTCAGTTGGTCTGGTATTTCTATCTCTTTAAGAATTTTCCACAGTTTGCTGTAATCCACACAGTCAAAGGCTTTGGCATAGTCAATAAAGCAGAAGTAGATGTTTTTCTGGAACTCTCTTGCTTTTTTGATGATCCAACGGATGTTGGCAATTTGATCTCTGGTTCCTCTGCCTTTCCTAAATCCAGCTTGAACATCTGGAAGTTCACGGTTCATGTACTGTTGAAGTCTGGCTTGGAGAATTTTGAGCATTACCGCTAGCAAGTGAGATGAGTGCAATTGTGCAGTAGTTTGAGCATTCTTTGGCATTGTCTTTCTTTGAGATTGGAATGAAAACTGACCTTTTCCAGTCCTGTGGCCACTGCTGAGTTTTCCAAATTTGCTGGCATATTGAGTGCAGCACTTTCACAGCATCATCTTTTAGGATTTGAAATAGCTCAACTGGAATTTCATCACCTCCACTAACTATGTTCATAGTGATGCTTCCTAGGCCCACTTGACTTTGCATTCCAGGATGTCTGGCTCTAGGTGAGTGATCACATCATCGTGATTATCTGGGTCATGAAGATTTTTTTTGTATAGTTCTTCTGTGTATTCTTGCCACCTCTTCTTAATATCTTCTGCTTCTGTTAGGTCCATACCATTTCTGTCCTTTATTGAGCCCATCTTTGCATGAAATGTTCCTTTGGTATCTCTAAATTTCTTGACGAGATCTCTATTCTTTCCCATTCTATTGTTTTCCTCTATTTCTTTGTATTGATCACTGAGGAAGGTTTTCTTATATCTCCTTGCTATTCTTTGGAAGTCTGTATTCAAATGGGTATACCTTTCCTTTTCTCCTTTGCCTTTAGCTTCTCTTCATTTCAGAGCTATTTGTAAGCCCTCCTCAGACAACCATTTTGCCTTTTTGCATTTCTTTTTCTTAGGGATGGTCTTGATCACTGCCTCCTGTACAATGTTACAAACCTCCATCCATAGTTCTTCAGGCACTCTGTCTATATATTTCTAATCTAAGATCTAACACCTTGAATCTGTTTGTCACTTCCACTGTATAATCATAAGGGATTTGATTTAGGTCATACCTGAATGGTCTAGTGGTTTTCTCTCCTTTCCATATGAAATTGGACTCCTACCTCACATCACATGTAAAAATTAACTCAAACAGGATTAAAGAGCTAAATTAAAGAGCTAATACTATAAAATTCTTAGAAAGGCATATCTTCATAGCCTAGATTAGGCAATATTTTTTAGATATAACACCAAAATATAAGTAAAGTAGATAAAATAGATACATTGGACATCATCAAAATTAAACAAAATAAAAATTTTTGTGCTTCAAAAGACACCATCAAGTGAGTAAAAAGAAAACCCACAAAATGGGAGAAATTTTTTGCAAATCACACATTGGATAAGAGTATATAAAGAAGAATGTACAAAGAAATGTTGCCACTCAAAAATGAAAAGATGAATTAACTCACATAAAAAATGGACAAACGATTTGAGTAGACATATTTCCACAGAAGATATTAAAATAGCCAAGAAGCACAGGAAATATCATTAGCCCTTCAAGAAATGGAGGGTGACTGCTACTAGTAAGGGGTTTCGAGGGTGATGGAAACATTCTGGACCTAAACAGAGATGATGGTTGCATAATGTAATATATAAACAACCACTGAGTTGTACATTTTTAAATGGTGAATTTATGGTATGTTAATCATATCTCAATAACGAGACAAGTAACCCAATTTAACAACAGGTGAAGGATCTGAATAGACATTTCTCCAAATGAAGGTACACCAATTGCCAATAAGCACATGAAAGAGGTCCTACATCATGAGTCATTGCTGCTAAGTCACGTCAGTTGTGTCCGACTCTGTGCGACCCTATAGACAGCAGCCCATCGGGCTCCTCCGTCCCTGGGATTCTCCAGGCAAGAACACTGGAGTGGGCTGCCATTTCCTTCTCCAATGCATGAAAGTGAAAAGTGAAAGTGAAGTCGCTCAGTCGTGTCCGACTCTTAACGACCCCGTGGACCACAGTCTACCAGGTTCCTCCGTCCATGGGATTTTCCAGGCAAGAGTACTGGAGTGGGGTGCCACTGCTTTCTCCGTCATGAGTCATTAGGTAAATGCAAATCAATATCACAGTAAGGTATCATTTCATACCCTTTAGGAAGGCTATAATCTATAATCAAAAAGACTAATGATAACAAATGTTGGTGAGGATGTGGAGAAAGTGGAACCCTCATAAATTATTAGTAGGAATATAAATTGGTACAACCACTTGGAAAAGTCTCACAGTTCCTCTAAAAGTAAAACAGAGTTACTGTATGACCCACCAATTTCACTTCTAGGCATCTACCCAAAAGAAATGAAAACATGTCCACACAAAGACTTGTACATGAACCTTCATAATAACACCATTCACAATTCGTATGTCCACAAACTGGTGAATGGAAGAACAATATATGGTATCCATACAATGGAATGTTTTTCATTATATGACAATTTAAGAAGCAGTGTACTGACAAGTGTAACAGCACTGATGAACCTTGAAAACATTATGCTGAGTGAAAGAAGCCAGACACAAAAGGCCATATGTTGTGTGATTTCACTTAAATGAAATGTTCAGAAGAAGCAAATTCATAGTGACCTAAAGTATTTCAGTGGTTGCCTTGGTCTGGCAATGGAGAGTCACTGCTAATGAGTATGGGTTTGTTTGGAGAATGATGAAAATCTTCTAATATTGATCATGGTGATGGTCGCACAACTCTGAATTTACTTAAATTAATTTAACACTTTAAATTGTGAATTGTATAGTATGTGAATTGTATAGTATGTGAATTATATCTCAATAAAGCTGTTATATTAAAAAGGAAATGGTAACATTTTATTTCTTAAGTATATAGGTGTTCATTTTATGATAATCCTTTAAATTTGCATTTAGAGTATTCTGTTTGTAGGTGAAATACATGCCTCCATAAAAACATTTTTTTAGAAGTCTGACAGACTTGGATTCTAATTCTGGCTCAACCACTTAACAGTTATGAGTACTTGGGCAGATTACTTAACCTTCCAATGTCTTATCTGTAAAGCAGAGATGGTAATAATAGTAACTCTATCATAGGCTTTTACATCATGTGCTTGGCACATTGTCAGAGTTATTATTAGCTCTAAGCAGTTGAGCCACTTGCCTAAATAATCCAGAGTCACGGCTTCTCTTTCTTTAAACTCCAACGTCCATATTTGCTATTTCATAAAGATTCACAACTTTCATGAGGGACATAAAACTGACCTCCAAGGAGGACCTACTGAATTTTACCTTCAAAATGCCCTTACATAACAGCTCTATAAAGCCAATCAAGCCCCTCACAAAACAGGACAAAACCAAAGTTTCCATCACTTTCTGAGTGTTGGTGTCAACTAGCATTCCAGCCTGGCTCTGGGAGTTCAAGTCAAATTAAGAGAAAAGTCTTTTCTGTCTTGAGCAGCCTCCAGAATCATGTTGGTCTGAATCTCGACTCAGTTCACTCATAAGAGCCTCTGTGTGTTGTTCTTCCTATTGTACCACCTGGATTTCTAGCACACAGTTTCAAAGTTCAAACTGTGTCTACAGAATCCTGGTCCCGATGAATATATCAGTGAATGTGTCAAGGATGAGTCGTCAGAGGGGAAGGAAGGGCAGGAGAGACATGAGCTCAGCTGGATCCCTTGCAAGGACTCTTAAAGGAGACAGTGTTCTGCTGTTCTCCATGAATCTGAAAGCTTATATTCATGCATAATTGTAATCAGAGATCTTTGCTTAAAGTACGTGACACATAATTTCATGTCTATTTCTCTCAAGAGTCTACACTCCATGAGGGAAGGGATATTCTCTTCCTTGTTCACAACTGGATCCCCATCAACTACAATAGGACTTTGCACATAGTAGGTGCTCAATAAATTAGTAGTTATATGACTGGGCAATAAAACCATACAACAATGAATTGATTTCTAGTATGACGAACAGGGATAATCAAGAGTTCAGAGGGAGACTCTAGATTTCCAAATAGGTAGTCTGAGGAAAGGGTATCATTGCAAAACAGCTTTTGGGGGGAAATGTTAATAATTTACCTGTGCTGGGTGAGCACATTTACAGCTGAAGGATGATTTGCACAGTAAGCCAGATACATAGATTTAAAATGAGGCATGAGGCTCAGAAGACAACCACCTACTTTGTGTTGGTTTTCTGGAAACCTGTAAGTAAAACAAGTGGAACACACAATGTGATATAGAAAACAAGATAAAGGAAGATGATTTCTATTAAACCTGGCAACATGCAAACCTTTTGAATTCTTTTGCCAAAATTAAAAAGAAACTTCTATATTATAACCATTTTATCTATGAAATGCAAGTTCTTGGCCACTGCTTTAAAACCCAGCCACCAAACATAGCTCCAATACATAGAGTTAGATACTTATTTTGCATTAATAGGGGTTTTAAGATGCTTATTCAAATTATGATATTCAAATTTAGCCAGACACACTAAAAATACTCTTGATTAATTTACATGAAGTTCAAGTACAGATAGCTTTAGTTGGTAAAGAATCTGCCTGCAATGCAGGAGACCCTGGTTGGATTCCTGGGTTGGGAAGATCTGCTGGAGAAGGGATAGGCTACCCACTCCAGTATTCTTGGGCTTCCCTGGTGGCTCAGCTGGTAAAGAATCTGCCTGCAATGTGGGAGACCTGGGCTCGATCCCTGGGTTGGGAAGATCCCCTGGAGAAAGGAACGGCTACTCACTCCAGTCTTCTGGCCTGGAGAATTCCATGGACTATATAGTCCATTAGGTCGCAAAGAGGCGGACATGACAGAGCAACTTTCACTTCACTTCACTTCAAGTACCGACAAAACTAACTGAATCCAGAAATGACACATCACAAAGGAGTGTTATGTAGTTTTGGTGACAGTTGCTAGGCAAGGTGACATCCAGATGTTTAAAATTACAAGTCACCTATCTTAGTTTATCTTCCCTGATGGTTCAGATGGTAAAGCGTCTGCCTACAATGCAGGAGATCAGGGTTCAATCCCTGGGTCGGGAACATCTCCTGGAGAAGGAAATGGCACCCCACTCCAGTATTCTTGTTTGGAATATCCCATGGATGGAGAAGCCTGGTAGGCTACAGTCCATGGCGTCACAAAGAGTCAGACATGACTGAGCTACTTCACTTTATCTTAGTTTGCAAAAAACTCAGAAAAGCACAAGAAAAAAATTACTTGGAATTCCACCATTCAGAGGTACTGATTATAACAATTTTGGCTTATTCTCTGGACTCTTCTATGTGTTTCCTATAAAATGGAAAACAAAGATGACAAATCTAGATGGCAATCTGCTCTTAGTCACCATATTTCCATACCAATCATCTGAATCCCTATCAGCATTTGGAGTGGCTCTTGAGGTCTCCTTGTGAGGGCTCTCACCAGCTTCCTCCGTGGATAACCACTTGTGCTTCTCTAAGCTCAAGAAACAGGCAATTGCCCCCAAGTTCCCTATAGATGACAAAAGTCACCAATGTCTGAGATCCACCACTTGGATAACTAATCTTGCTCCAGAAATAAACTGCTTGATGATCATCACAGTTCATTCTGCAGTATGAAGTTGAACACCTCAATGATCTAGCTAGCCTTCAATGATGTATTGTGCTTCACTAAAGGTATTACTTGGAAAAGTAATTTGCTATGTATGAATTATCATCTAATCGATGATAAAGGCATCATTCATAGTCAGTTTAGATCTTGTCAATATAATTTTTAAATAAAGCCAGAAGTAATTGACTAGATATAGAACACTGATAAGCAACTAGTGGTCTGACACTGTGAATACCACCACCTAGTGAATTTTCTCTGTTGTTGTATAGTTGCTCAGTCATGTCCAACTGTTTTGCGACCCCATGAACTGTATGTAGCCTGCCAGGCTCCTCTGTCCATAGGATTTCTCAAGCAAGAATACTGGAGTGGGCTGCCATTTCCTTCTCCAGGGGCTCTTCCTGACCCAGGGATTGTACCCCCATCTCCTGCTGTGCAGGCAGATTTTTTATCACTGAGCCACCGGGGAAGTCCAGATTTTCTCTGTACTGGGACAATTTACTAAAGTTGTAATAAATGTATAAATGCATAAATACAGAGTGCCCATATCTAAGACAACAGTCAAAAGAAAAACAAAACACACATTTAAAAAACCCAATGCTGCTAGCTATCTTAATGGCAATGTGAGACACTTACTTTGAACATTCTTCCAAGGCTTGGCAGAGCGTCTGTTGAAATGTGCATACTTCCTCGAAGTTTCCCAATAAAGATGTAAACTCCACAGTACTCAGACTGAAAAATATATACATGCAGCTTCAGTGAAGAGAACTTGGGGATGACTTGAGCTATCTCTGTCTAATCTGGTTAGGTGATAGTTTGCTAGTAACCGGCAAATGGGACAAAGGAAGCAATTCTTATATTTTAACTTTTGCTTCTGAATTGACACCAACTCTGTGGTCTTAAGCAACTTTCTAAAACTTCTTTCCTTGGTTTCCTTTTCTACAACAAGAATAATGATCCTAAAGAGAATGAGTGTTTACAAGGTACATTAGGTATTTTACAAAACGAGGAGTAAATGAGTAACAAGTGTTTAGCATCTGAGCATTGACAGAGAACAGATTGGTGGTTGCCAAACGTAGGGGGAGGGGGTGGGTGGAATGGATTATGGTGGTCAAAAGGTTCAAGCTTCTAGTTATAAAATAAGGAAGGCATAGGGATGGAATGTATGGCATGGTGACCATAGTTAATAATACTGTACTACATATTGGAAAGTTTCTGAGAGAGTAGGTCTTAAAAGTCCTCATCACAAGAAAAAAAGTTTGTAACTATGTGTGATGATAAATGTTAACCAGATTTACTGTAGTGATTATTTCACAATATATACAAATACTGAATCATCACACTGTATCTCTGAACTAACATAATGTTTACATGTCAACTGTATCTCAATAAAAAATAAATAAGAATCTAAAGTAAGTAGAATACATCACGGTTGGGAATAAGTGTAAAACCTTTTGAACTCTCTCCCCTAGAAGAGCTGGGACAGTAATTGGAAGATATTATATATGCCATATAAGGCACAAGGAAAAAGAGCAAAATCCAGCTTCTCTTAAATTAAAAGGCTCATAAATCAACTCATGGAAATCTGGAGAGGAAGTAGGAGGGAAGAAATAGTACTGATGTGTGTGTGTTTGTTTTGGGAATGGAATGGAATCAAACAAAGACAAACTGAACAATTTTATCCATCACCTCTGTACTAAGAATTTTCTCATCTTTTCTTCTCCTACCAAAAAAAAAAAGGAGCCAACACTAGTGTAGCACTTAACACTGAGGTAAGCATTTTACAAATAACAACTTGTCTTAACCTTACAACAACTTTATGAGATCGATACTATTGCTGCCTCCATTTTACACATAAGGAAACCCACACACAGAGAGGTTAAGCAAATCAGCCAAAGTCACAAGCCAGTGAATGGTGAAGCCAGAAGTTGAACTCAAACATTCTAGCTCCAGAGTAAATGCTCCTAACCACTTTTTGAGAGAAAACTTCTCTGAAGATTGACTTAAAAGGCCAATGTCTGCCACACGTTCTTTCTCCTTAATACAATAATACTAGGGGAGGGTTTCCAGGAGAGTAATTTTTGCTGACAAAGAAAAGGAAGACCCAAACAGATGTTACCAGTAACCCCTAGAGTATAAAAAGCACCCAGTTCCTCCAATCTGAAGCCCTCTTGAACCACAAGCTGAAAAACCCCTCTCATGGGTGTCAAAAGTGAAACCGTTTAGCCAGCTTTCCTGGCTGTTGCTCCCCTAGAGCAGGAGGAACTTGACTGAGCACTTAGCTGGACCCTTCAGGATTAAACAGTAAACAGTCTGCTTTGCTCAAATCACTTTGGGGTCTACAAGGCAGAACCAATGGAAACTGACTAAGTGCATTTCGAATTTCCATGGAACAGTGTGGTTCTGGCTCGGTTCTCTCACCTCCTCTGCCCTGACTCTTTTCTTTTCCTTTCCTTTTGTCTAGTTCCTGATTGCTCATCAATCACTCCTTTATTTGAAATCTTACCATCACTGCTGTCAGGTTTAACACATCAGTTTCCCTCTCCTCCTCTGCCTGTCACCTCTAGAACACAGACCCACATTTCACTCAGTGGCAGGAGACACAGCGGGTTGAGTCTGGTCGCTGACTGACCATGTGATGGGCAGGGCAGTGAGCCTCTCTGGGATTTGGTTTTCTTATTTATTCAATGAGGAAAGTCATTTCTTCCAGGGCACTAGACCCAATGATTCACTGAAGTTCCATTCAGCTCTAAGAACTATGATTCACAGAGCACTTCATATTTTACAAAATAATAACAAAAGTTACTTTGTCATTGATCATTTAAACTCTGATAAAACACAGGAATACAAAATCCTTTCATACTGAAGTAGGATTCCCATAGTGTCATGAAAATAACCAAGTGGGAAATTTAATAGGACATTATACCTAAACAAGCATGATTTAGAAAAAGGGAGAAAATAGTGAAATACATCATTAAATTTATTTAAGCTAGAAGTCAACAATTTAGGCAATTGTTTGGCAAAAATATACTCAAACTGAGATAAAAGAAGAGGCTTTTGTCCTCCACTCTACGTATCAACTGCTAAATTTTCTATTTGACTTAAATCATAATCTCTAGGAAAGTTTAATCCATTAAAATAAAAACACACAAATGCAGTTAGACATTATTTGTTACATATGCCAGGTCTACAAGCACCAAAAAAATGAGTGGTCAACAGTTTTCTCTTGTGAAAAGGAAGTTTGCAATTCAGGTCTTCGGATTTCTACAACCAGATTAAGGTTTCAATATTGGATTGTGAAAAACATTCTAACATTTCTTTCTCATTCACTTTGGCCTGGGTGAAATACTGGCTTGAATGGCTCTCACAAAACGCCACAATTTTTCCACTCTCAGAGCATGGGAAAGAGTTTCTGCCCTGGCAAGCAAAGGTCACAGCAAGCACAAGAATTTCCAGTGTCTGTGCTTTTCACATAAAAACATCAGCAAGTCCTTTTTCTGGAAAGTAAAACCAGATATATTCCTTTAAAAATGGACAAGATAAAAATGGTGACAGACAGAAAAGCAGATCGACTCATTCCCGCCACAGCCAGAAGAAAGAGAAAGTCAAGCTCTCCAAAAGCAACATCTTGCATAATTTCTGTTGCCTTGACCATGTTCTTGGCAACCTGTGATCTGTGGAAATTCTTCTAAAGGGCAAAATCAATTATTCAGTGACATAAGAGTAATGACTCCATATGCTGACATTATCTTGCTTTGCTTAGTGAGGGGTTTAAAACATAAATCTTACTTGTTATTGGACTGCAGGGGTCTTAAGTAAGTAACAAGAAGAGATTGAAGTTCTTTAGCATAATCTTTTTCGGTGTCCAAGATATTCTGTAACACCTATGGAGAAACAAAGATCAAGGTATTGTAATTGTCAGAAAAGTACAAAGTAAAATGCAGTTTTAGATCTTTTTTTTCATTTATTTTTATTAGTTGGAGGCTAATTATTTTACAATATTGTAGTGGTTTTTCCATACATTGACATGAATCAGCCATGGATTTACATGTGTTCCCCATCCTGAACCCCCCTCCCACCTAGTTTTAGATCTTTTAATCAAATTATAATCAAATTATAGCTTACTCAGGCTAGCACTGTGAGTAAGGAACACAAAATCTGAACGCATTCTAGCAAAGTAATAATTGCATGACAACTGGTTATATTGCATAACTCATACAAACATGTTTTTTCAGAATTACCTTTATTTGGAGGGGCCCTACCATTTACACAGTATGGCTCAGAATGCTTTTGTATGCTTTAAATTATTTTATCCTCAGTAAAAGTCTCAGCTAACAAAGGATCATCATTTCCATTTTATGGTTGGGAAGACTTGAGACCAACTACCCCAATACACAGAGATTCAACATCAGGATAATTTCATGATAACTGATATCAAACACCAAAACAGCTTTTTTTAAATGATGTTTTTGAGAAGATCTTTAGGTGACAAAATCTGAGGACACTGAATTTTTAAGCAGGGTAAAAACTGGTTTTTTAATTAAAAGTAAAAAGTGCTAGTATAAACATTTCAAAGAGAAAAAGAAGCTGAAGTGTGAGGAATTAAATGAGGGAAATGATGCTTACCAGTATTATTAATGATAGCCAAAAGAAAATCCTCTAGGCAAAATAATCAATAAATAGGTACAGAGTTTCTTTTCCCCCACCAGTCCTGGAGTCATGCCCCATTTCCCAGCCTTTTCTGGAGGCAGCTACAACCTTCACTCCAAGCTCTTAGAGATCCACCAAGCTAACATTTTGGTGTACTTTCTCTCATATCTCCTAATCCATTCAACACAAATTTACTGAGTGTCTATGTGGTGACAGGACTTCCCTTGTGGCTCAGCTGGTAAAGAATCTGCCTGCAATGAGGGAGACCTGGGTTTGATCACTGGGTTGGGAAGATCCCCTGGAGAAGGGGAAGGATACCCACTCCAGTATTCCGGCCTGGAGAATTCCATGGAGAGTCCATGGGGTCACAAAGAGTCGGACACAATTGAGTGACTTTCACTATGTGGTGACAAAGGCCATGCCTGCCCTCAGGGAGTTTCTACTCTATCTGCAGAGGGAGACATTAAACAGGGGTGGGGGGGCTCACAAGACCATGTGAAGCATTCTTAGCCAGGAGAAGCCCCTTAACCTACCAACATGCCAGACGTGTACTCACAAGACAGTGCATGATGATCTGCTTTTGAAAGGTGGAATGGAAAAACTGCCTGGAGGTCCAGGTAGCTGTGGGGGTTTTTTTTGAAACAACTGAACTGAAGGGTGGTAGTCCAGGCTCTGCTCCCAATGAACAGGTTGCTTCAGTTTTAAGGTTTCACTTGCCTCATCTCAGATTGTGACATTTCACCTACCTCAGGGACCATTGTGAAGAGGTAAGGGAGACACTACACATGGAGATGCTGGGTGAGTTGGGAAACAGTCCCCTCCAATTTAAAGGGTTAAAAAAAAGGTTCCTCAATGGCAGTATTGACATTTCAGAGCAGATCACTCTTTGTTGTGAGGGGATGCCCTGTGCACTGTAGGATGGTTAGCAACATCACTGGAATCTACCCATCAGATCTCAGCTGCACGCCACCCCCTACCCAAGTGTGACGATCAAAAATGTGCCCAGACAATGCCAAATTCACCTGAACGGCAATATCACCCCTAGCCGACAAGGACATAGGCTACAGGGGTGGCCTCAAGAGTTAGGGCTTAAGTTGTAGTCCCTCCTCCCAGCCACTCATGTCTACTTTCAGTTTCTCTGTTCCTTAAGGAGGAATGCCTACTCTAAAAATAAGCATGCATCTAAGGGGCCTGGAGGTACCAATGTGCTGTGAAACTAATCCAATAATGGAACAGAAATGTTACCTCCTATAGGAAGTCAAAGCACAACAAAGGAAATCAGAAACTATCTTGAGATGAATAAAAAAAAAACACACAACATAAAAAACTTGTAGGATGCAGTTAAAACAGTGCTTGGAGACTGTAAATAGCTATACATGCCTATATCAAAAAAGAAGAAAGAGGACTTCTGGTTTCCACTCCAGCATTTAAGGCATTTGCTAGTCATTGTGTTAGTCGCTCAGTCGTATCCGACTCTTTGCGACCCCATGGACTGTAGCCTGCCAGGCTTCTCTGTCCATGGAATTTCCCAGGCAAGAATACTGGAGTGGGTTGCCATTCCCTTCTAGTCATTACTCCAGCCTAAAAACAAGAAAATAGCTTTAAAAAAATGGAAAAAATAACTTTGCTTACATTTGTCAGGGAATTGAGGTCGCAGGGGGGAAATGATACACTCAAAATTAGAGAAACAGACAAGCAGATAGAGATCATATCTTGCTGGAGCAGAAAACCATGAGAAGCCTCCACAGGAATGGGAAGCAAGGTAGGAAAACCTGAACTGTAATTGATGAGTTGCTAGAGGCTCACTTTGCTGTACACCTTAAACTAACAACACGAACATTGTTAATCAACTATACCCCAATATAAAATAAGAGTTTTTAAAGAGATATTTTTTAAAAAGTGGTGCTGTAACCACTCGATAACTACATGCAAAGAAAGAATTTGCACTCCTACTTCACATCATATTAAAAAATTAACTCAAAATGGATGCCGGAGTTAAAATTACAAAACCCTGAAAAGAAAATAGAAGAGGAAATCTTCCTGACCTTGGATTTGGCAATGGATTCTTGGATGACACCAAAAGCACAAGCAACAAGAGACTAAAGATAGATAAATTGAAATTCATGAAAATTAAAAACTTTTATGTATCAAAGGACATTGTTTAGTCGCTAAGTCATGTCTAACCCTTTTGCAACCCCATGGACTATAGCCCGCTGGCTCCTCTGTCCATGGGATTCCTCAGGCAAGAATGGAAAAAAATGGAGTGGAAAAAAAAAAGAATACTGGAGTGGATTCATGGCAATGTATGGCAAAACCACTACGATATTGTAAAGTAATTAGCCCCCAATTAAGATGAATAAATTTATTTTAAAAATTAAAAAAAATTAAATTAAAAAAAAAGAATACTGGAGTGGGTTGCCATTTCCTTCTCCAGGGGATCTTCCCAACCCAGGGATCAAATCCATGTCTCCTGTGTCTCCTTTGGATTCTTTACCACTGAGCCACCAGGGAAGATCACCAAAGGACACTGTCAAGAAAATGATCCACAAAATGGGGAAAATATTTACAAATCATGTATTTGAAAAGGGTCTACTATTCAGAATTTACAACTCAACAATAAAAGCAATCAATTAAAAGTTGGCAAAGGATTCAAATAGACAACTTGCCAAAGAAGATATACAAATGGCCAATATGCACATAAAAAGATAGTCAACATCTTTTGATTAGGGAAATGCTAATCAAAACCACAATACTACTTCACACTTAGTAGAGTGGCTATAATAAAAAGAAAAAATAGAAAATAAAAGGGGTTGGTGAAGATATGGAGAAACTGGAACCTTCATACATTGCTGGTGGGAAAGTAAAAAACTTTCTATGGAAAGTAGCTACTGTGGAAAACAGTTCGGCAGTTCCTCAAATAGTTAGACATACAGTTATCATATGATCCAGTAATCCATTACTAGAAAAAATGAAAAAATATGTCTATGTGTATGCAGGTCAGGAAGCAACAGTTAGAACTGGACATGGAACAACAGACTGGTTCCAAATAGGAAAAGGAGTATGTCAAGGCTGTATGTTGTCACTGTGCTTATTTAACTTCTATGCAGAGTACATCATGAGAAACGCTGGGCTGGAGGAAGCACAAGCTGGAATCAAGACTGCCGGGAGAGATATCAATAACCTCAGATATGCAGATGACACCACCCTTATGGCAGAGAGTGAAGAAGAACTAAAGAGGCTCTTGATGAAAGTGAAAGAGGAGAGTGAAAAAGCTGGCTTAAAGCTCACCATTCAGAAAATTAAGATCATGGCATCTGGTCCCATCACTTAGATGGGAAAACAGTGGAAACAGTGGCTGACTTTATTTTTCTGAGCTCCAAAATCATTTGCAGATGATGATTGCAGCCATGAAATTAAAAGATGCTTACTCCTTGGAAGGAAAGTTATGACCAACGTAGACAGCATATTAAAAAGCAGAGACACTACTTTGCCAACAAAGGTCCATCTAGTCAAGGCTATGGTTTTTCCAGTGGTCATGTATGGATGTGAGAGTTGGACTATAAAGAAAGCTGAGCGCTGAAGAATTGATGCTTTTGAACTGTGGTGTTGGAGAAGACTCTTGAGAGTCCCTTGGACTACAAGGAGATCCAACCAGTCCATCCTAAAGGAGATCAGTCTTGGGTGTTCATTGGAAGGACTGATGTTGAAGCTGAAACTCCACTACTTTGGCCACCTGATATGAAGAACTGACTCACTTGAAAAGACCCTGATGCTGGGAAAGATTGAGGGCAGGAGGAGAAGGGGACAACAGAGGACGAGATGGTTGGATGGCATCATCGACTCGATGGACATGGGTTTGGGTGGACTCCGGGAGTTGGTGATGGACAGGGAGGCCTGGCATGCTGCGGTTCATGGGGTCGCAAAGTGTCAGACACAACTGAGAGACTGAACTGAACTGAACTGAAATATTTGCACATCGATTTTCACAACAGCATTATAAATAATAACCCAAAGGTCCATCAGGTGATGGCTGGATAAACAAAACCTGTTATATCCATACAATGGAAGATTAATCAGTCAAAAAAAGCAATGAGTTACTAGACATTCTACAATGTGGGTGAACCTTGAAAATGTTATGCTAAGGAAGAAGCCAGACACAAAAGAACAAAGATTGTATGATTCAATTTATATGAAACATCCAGAATAAGGAAAATCTACAGAGACGGAAAGTAGA